TATATATATATATATATATATATATATATATGAAATTATATATACAAAATTAGTGGTGAATCTCAATTTGTTCCGTTACAACTCCCGATTTCATTCATATGAATTTACTGCTTATTAGACTATAAACTATTATAGTCTGAATTAAATTATTAGTCTGATAAAAAAATGAAAAAGATTGTGGATAATCCATGATTTTATGAAAAACAGGACGTAGCGTAGTTTAACCGCTTAAATGGATTTAGAAGTGTCCATTTAATGGTTCTAACAAAGACAAACTCTACTTGCAAATGAAGAAAACTGTATTTAGTTACCTATGAGGCAATTTTTAATTATATAAATTAAATTATAGTTTTTGTCTTTGTTAAAACCATTTAAAGGAGACTTTTGAGCGGCTAAATGACACGAATTTTAATTTCATGAAATCATAGGTATTTGATATGTATATATTATTTCATTATATATATATTTTTTTTTTTTTTTTTTTTTTTTTTTTTTTTTTTTTTTTTTTTTTTTTTTTTTTTTTTTTTTTTTAGCAATTTCGATATAACTAAAATCTTTATTTTAAATTATTTTCATCTATTTCGGAACTCGTTTTTTTTTCACTTGCAACTTTTCAATTAAAGGTTATTTTTTTAAATCTTTTATTTAAAAGTTCTGTTGATTCCGCTATTATTCTTAGCTAATGAAACGAACAAATGACAAATGAACAAATCAGAATGAAGTATTTCATTTCAGGTTAATTATAATTCTAATCTAATGCCTATTACAGTTTATTTCCTAGTTTAACCTAACTTTATACGAACTTGAATAAATAAACTTTTATCAGAAATCTAGAAAATTCCTTAAAACTTTTATTTTTTTTTTCATAGGACGTTTCAGTGAAACTGTTAAAATAAAACTTTTTTAAGAAAAACTTCCGTGTTTAATAAAATTTAAGTTCATATTAATCAGTTGAGATTAATACCAAGGATTCAGGATTCAATTTTGGGAGTGGTGTTTAATTGATTCTTCAGGTCCAATACTTACAATAATACTTAAACAATAATACTTTTTAAAATATTTTTTTCATAAAAAGCCGATATGATTCATACTTTTTTTTGGGGGGGGAGGGAAGAGAGTGCTTCTGCACGAAAGTCCCCTTCCCTCTTTATCCGCCTGTGATATATACCATGATACCTGTATAACAAAATAATGTGATTTGATATCCCGTCAAACCAAAGTACATTGTGCTTCAACAAATATAACTGCAATAAATTATTACAAAGCATTAATTAGTTTTGGCTTCTGTGTTATGTATTTTAATAATTATTTAACCGTATATTAATTAATGATGCTTGTATATTTTTTGAGTAATGACTGAAATATGGTCGTATTGGTTCATTTCAATATATTCGTTAATAATAATAAGGCTTAGCGAACCCAAAGGTTCGATGCCGATACCACCATTCGATGCCCACATTCTTTCATCCACCGGGCTCCGTCTAAACCCTATCTCACCAGATCAGCCTTAATGCAATCTTCCCACCTTCACTTTTGGTCTACCCCTCGGACGGTTGCCAGTCAGTACAGGGCATATTAAGTTTTTTGGAACGTTACTAATACCAGCTATCCTAGGTGCCCATTTTATTCGCCTCAACTTAATCATCTTCAATATATTTGTTACACATAATAATTTTAGGATAAGTGGTTATTCTCAATTTTGATATATGAATTAATTATTATTCCTTTCCACTAGGTTGTCTCCTCTGAGGGGCAATGATGGACAAATGCTACTCTGAATTTTGAGTACCAATTATTTTACTCAAATACTGACCTTTTTTGACTACCTAAGAATTTAATCACTACTTCAGTTGATGTTAAACGATTAACTGAAGTAGTGATTGAATTCTCAATAGTGATTCAATTTGAGTAAATAATTGGTACTCGTAGTATCATTTGCCCATCTCTGCTGAGGGGACATGGAAGTTTAATAGCGATTAAGAAGAATAAACTTATTCCATTACAATCTTTTAAGAAACGCATGTTTTCCTGTAGCTTTCTATTTAAATGACACAAAAAAAACTGATCAAAATGAATGATAAATAAATCACATGATAAATAAACTAAGAAATAATAATTCCATACTGATTTTTATATTGTAGTCCTGAATCCTGTTTCATGAACAAGTAAACAAAAAAAAAAAAATGAAAACATTTTTTTGCTCACTAACAGTCTAACATTGACATATTCAGAAATTTACATTATTATAAAAATAACAAAAATCTATGAAGTTTTGAGAAATTAGTTTTTCAGTTGAATTAACCAAATTTGAAATTAATCAAATTTATCAAGATTAAAAAAAAACATAAGTTATATCTTGTATCTGTATATATATATATATATATATATATATATATATATATATATATATATATATATATAAACTTTATTCAGAGACGATGTCCCCTTCGAATAACAATAATGAACAGTATAAAAGAAAAAATACATATCTGGACAAAAACTAACTTAATAAAGATTCAAACAATATATACAAAAACTTAACTAACAGTATGTAAATTACTAAAATATAAAATAAAATCTTCTCAACTACACTTATAATTTTACTGGAAAAAATGACAAAAATATAAAAAAGAAAAAAAGAATTACATGTATAGAAAGAAAACCTCCAGAAAAGAAAAAATATCAAAATTACTTAAATAAAAAAAATTGACTTATGTTAAAAACAGCTAAAGCATACAAAATATATACCTTTATTAAAGATAAATTAATGACAGAAGATGAGCAACAGGATCACAATTTAGCATTATCCCAGCGCAAAAGATATAAAATAAGAATAAATAGATAAATACACTTATATATATTCTGTTTTTAGAAGCTAAAACAAGAATTTCTTATGGTCCAAAAAAATAATATTGAATTTTATCTACTGATACGTATAGTAGATAAATACCATGTATTTGTATTTTCATATATTATTCCTGATAATTTATTGCACAGATAATAGAATATATTTAGTAGTGATGCTATAAAACGAAGAAACGAGGAAATCAGATGAAAAACTATAATTCTGTGTACTATAGAATTATTACAAAAACTGGAGTTTGAGACCAATAAGCGTCGAGTTGCTGGTAGGTAACGTGCAAAACGGTCCCGATTGCGAAGAATTAAATAACTGTTTTATATTAACTCTTAATTTAATAATATCTATTATAAAATTATTCTAAAAAATGTTATATAGTTACCGTATAATTATATCACCCATACCAATCCATATGAATGAGATCATTGAATGTAATTAAAAAAAAAAAATGTAAAAAATGAGATAGGATCACAATTTAGGCCAGAGAACGAGGGTATCTAATCCACAGCCTAAATCCTTAACCCCAGGTAATTTTCCCATCATGTTTGCTAAACTTAATTACAATGCGGTGAAGAAATACAGCTGTATTTGTTTTGTAGATAGCTTGTTTTAGGTTTGTGTATTCTCGATCAGCTGGTCAAAGGGCGATGGAATAGTATTTAAGTTGATATAAAAAATAATCACAGGAAATTTCAGATTTTTTTTTTCATGAATCTTTAAAAATAATAAAAATATAAGTAATAAATTAGACCATAATCTTAATTTGTATCTATGAAAATAATAATCATTTCAGGAATTTCGTCGCTACATTTCAAGTAATCGCAAAGGATCAACTTGGAAAATCTAAAATTATATTGATTCGTGAATAAATAATATTTATTACCAATAATTTTATTAGTAAAAATTGACAATTTCATTTATTCTTTAATCGGAATGTAACAGAAAGTTGTTTAAACAAACACATTCAAATATAGGTAACTAACCAGCGAACGTTTCGTATATTTAGATAACATTAGGATAGGAAAAAATCTAATGCAGTGCGCGCATCACACAACTTTCACTTACCACCCTCTTCTTAGCAGAAATAAATATTTTCAGACAAAGTGAAGTGAAAGTAAAAATTATAGACTCTATATTTATTTATATTTCATTGTGGGTATTTTTATTTGGATAAGTACCCTCATATATACAATGTTTAATGTTTATATAACCGTAATAGCATTTATAAAAACCACACATGTATATTTATATAATATTGTCGGAGTACGTATTATATTAATCTCATGATACGTATGGAAGCGTGTTCTAATCTTTAGGGCGAGCTGGGATGCGCTCGTATTACTTTGGTTCCTCAATTACAACTATTCTCCGTTATGATCTCTTATTTCTCCTTTAGTTATTTATGAAATTCTTTCATATTTTATATTTAACCATTTTTCATATTAGAAATTAATGTGAAATGGTCAATTGTTTCAAATAAAAAAAATTAAAGGTACTTTAGAGGTAGCTAATATTGAAAATTAGCCATTTAAGCTCTGTTAGAGAACATTAATCCGAACAATAACCACATTTTACTTAAAACTGCTTAATTTTACACTGATATGATGAATTTAATAAAAATCGTTTGAGGGGTTTTCGAGATAATCGTAAAAATGTGTTTAATGCATATTATAAAAGTTGCTGTAACATTCCTAGCATATAAAAACATTTAATATGCAATTTCATTTCCGTATAACTTTTCGTTTTTGAGCTAGGCTGTCAACACATACACACAGACCATTTTGCGGGACTTGGTTATTTGGACTCAGGGGACCTCAAAACGTGTATTTTCGTTGAAAACTCAGATTCAAAAAATTTCACGGTCGCAATACTTACCATTACTATATATTACATGTATAGGTAAGTGAAAGTAAAAAATGAGATAACAGAAATGTATAACAGAGATGGTACATCTTACATCGACTTCCAAGACTGTATTTGAGATCTTACATAACAGAAATCCATAACGATTGAATAAAAGGGTTATCACAAGTGATGTATGTAGAAAATGTGCAATCATTTTTTAATATATTTTACAACCCTGTCAGAATTTATTTTAATGTAATATAAAATTATTTTATTTAATTATGTTCATTTACAGAATTGTATGACTTGAAACAAGGAGTGTTCCTCTTTCTTGGATACAGCGAGCTAGATGAGAGAAAACTTAGAGCTATAAATCAAATGGAAGTGCAAGATGCAGTAACATCATTACAAGACCTACTTCGACTCCACGTTAAGCCAAAAGTAAGCAGAAACAACAGCATGTATAAAAGTGTTGTATATTGACAATTGAATATTTTCATAGAGAATAATGAGAATCATAATTCCCATTGCTGTGTTATATGTAAATTTATGATGAATATTTATTATTTGATGAAGAACGTAACGTCTAAACGTTAAAAGTTAATTTTATTAAGTTGAATTTAAATAATAACACAAATACAGGTTCCAATATGTTCTTTTATTTTTTTTTTTTTTTTTTTTTTTTTGTTCTTCCCTACCTCGCCTTATTTAAAATCCTCTCCGGCACCGGTACGCGAACTCGTTAAATCTTCTCAAATCTATAATCCATTTGCCAGGCAACTCGAAGTGCTGTGCACACGCTTTAGCCCATTCGGCCACCCCGCCCCCATTTCTAATATGTTCTTAGTAACATAGGTTTGATGATCCTACCCAGTGTGGTTTGATCGGGAATCTATATTCGATTTTCGGGGTTGTCAGTAGCCCTCTCCCCCTCCCTCCCTCCATGGATTGATTGTTTCAGGGAAAGAATTATAGGTCCTCATGCGCCTGCTAACTCTGATAGGACATAACCCATGGATCTAGACTGATTTTCCACTGATCTTGAATCCCAGTGAAGAGTAGTGTTGCCCAAAATCGGACTTGGTCTTGCACTTTGCAATACCAAGACAAAGGCCGCCTAACTTTTGCAAGACCAAGACCAGGACTGATAAAAAAATCTATTTTTAAATAAGGACTAAATAATACTTGACTTTAAGGAATAAATAATACTTGACAATCTTAGTTACTATATGTTAATAATTGGGATAACCGATACTTTTATACTTTTGCATTTAACTCTTCTAATTTTTCATTCGGGCTTAGTTAGGTTTCTCCTATCTAAAAATTCACAGTAATATATCTATAGTAATAGGCTAATAAGTAACTGTAAGACTGTTGCGATACTCTTGTGTAAGACCCAGACTGAGTTTGCAAGACAAGGACTCATCTCGGTCTCGCATTTGGACAACACTAGTGAAGAGGTGGAAGACACATTGCTATATTGGCTCGGAATGGTTTGGCTATGAAGGTATGACGCCTACAGCTGAAACATACAGACCCATGGACCTTACCCACTTGACGAGATCTATATGTTTAATACGTCGTCCAAAAAAAAAATTGTTTGTGCGCCCGCTCGTGTTTGTTATTCTAATACCATAATAAGTTCTATTATAAATGAATGCTTTATTATTAATATTAACATATGATTGCATCGCTATAGACATTTTTATTTGTTCCTACTATTTGTATGGGGATATAAATATTTTCTCTTGTCGATATTCTGATGATAGATCATATATCGTTAAATATGTAAGAATACGTAATAATTTGATTTTCGTCCTTATGTGCTGTCAACCTCATTTTACTATCATTTCACTTTACCTATATATATATTATTTCTATTGCTTATCAGGGCCTTTATGTAAACATATTTATATTTATTTATCTATAATTTTATTATTTTACTGATGCTTATCCTTTATACTAATTCTAAGGTACATTACTCTTTAATTTCATTATTTATTTTTATTTTACTTCAGAGAAATGATACTTGTATTGTTCCTTGTTATTATTCTTAAGGGGCTAAATGACCCAGAGTAAAATATATTTTCTTCTTCCTCACTTTTTCTCATATCCTCTATTCATACAAACCTCCTCTGCTTTTAAACCAATTTAATTACCTTACGAGCATTTTTTTTTTAATAAATAATTTTTGTGTATTATTATTTTTTTTAAACGTGTTTATTAAACTTTTTAAAAATTACACAAAGTAAAATATATATATACAAGCAACAACACATAGACAATGGAAAATTCCGTCTGTCGAGGTCTGTGTGTAATTAATAATGAATATTCATCACATTTATAACTAAAATAAATGAGCAATAATATATCTGCAGTATTATTATGTTTTTATACATCCATTCTAGCAATTTTCTTTTTCACTGTCTCATATGTTTAAATACAGTTTTCAAAAAACAAACATTAATACAACAAAAATCCAATAAATAATAAATTTAAATTCAACAATAATAATAATTATCAAATACAATACAACAATAAAACAAACGTTACAAAAAATAAACACGATATTGTATTAATAGTTTATTATCTGACTAATTGAGATCTTCGCAATGTGGCCTGCTGTACATAATTGCTTAAGGCTTTCTAGTTAGAACCCTTTAAGAAACCAAATAATTCTTCTGAAGAACAGGTCCGCTGCCCAAAACATTTTTCTCTTAACTCACTGAACATGTGGCAAGTCCCCAAAAAGTGAATGATATCCTATTTTTCTTGAGAGTTACATACCGGGCAGCATCGTTGTCCCCCACCATCCATGGTTTTACGCTTATATCGAGCAATTCTGTCCTACATCGAAAAATTTACCTTATGGTCACAATATCAAAACTATCATTAAGATAGGGTGTAACAGCACCCACTGAACATAGTCCAGCGTAAACAGAAAAACCTGAATGAAGACATTTTTGAAGGTTATTTGGTTTTTCTAAGTCATCTACCCTATGTCTAATAACAGTCAATTTTCCGCGCAGACCAGCGACATTTGCAGTATCAAGATTAATTTTGCAACAATCCTCGAATTCTAACCACTTTTGGTGCCAATAAACTCTCTTAGTTATCACCTCTTTCGCTAGGATATGTGGTAAACGAAAACCCGGCATCTCCAGCACTTTCAAAATATAGTCGAAATGAATTTTAAGCGTGTAGGAGTATATCGAGGCAAGACCAGTTTCGTGTGCTAAAATATAATTAGGTGCATACCTTGGGTGACGCAGTAATTTTTTTACAAAGTATCTTTTAAACTGTTAAGTAGTATAATTAACAGTTACAAAAAATTGGCGCAACATGTATTTCAATAATTATAATAACTAAATAAACTTATTAGCGATGTAATATCTAAGCTTAATTCTAAAATCGGAGACCAAATAACCAATAAAAATAATGTTTGAATCCATCAGACGTTTTACTTAGAATTAATGAGAGAAAAAAGTCCTTATTTGCTATTTAGTTTTTCCGTACTGTTTAACTTTCCTAAGCTGTGTTAGGTAGTTTGATACATCAAAGTCTGATAAAATTAAAGGTAAACAAATTTGACACTTCGGAACCCAATAATTACCAAGCCCTTTTTCAGTTGTAACCTTCGTTTTTAATTGAAGAAGTTTGATGCCTTAATGGATTAAACTTTCCGATCTGAAAGGAATAAATTATAACTTTGAATTAGCCAAGTTATTAGAACGTCAACAGTTAATACAGTGGAAAAATATTTTTTATTCATGTATTGAATTTTTAATTTATCCTTAATATCTATTTATCATCAGCTAGCTTTCCGTTTATCCTTAAAATACTTATATTATATCTGTGTCATTTTTTTTATATTTGTTCGTGTTTTTTAATAAATATTTATATGTTTTTCTGCAAATTATATATATTAATGCCAAGTCATCCAGAGCCCGTAACCCACGCAACCTCCCCCCACTCAGATCTTGATGAAAATTAGTATGTAAAAATCCAAAATTTTAGCCAATTCTAAAAATTACTTTCAGAATTATGGGCTTTTAATCTTTTGAAATATTTGAAGTTGGGAAGACAATTTGGCCTCCAAACCAGCATATACCTGTTTGGTTTTGGCTTGATCCCATAAGTTTTGGCCTTATAATTTTTCTTCATGTATAGAAAAATTCTTAAATATAAATTTTCGAAATAGTGATTAATATATCTAAAACTGCCTGTAGCTAAATTCTCTCCTGTAGCAAAAATAATATTACTGAGATTTTGAGTTTGAAGAGTTTTATTACACTTTAAACCTAATTCAGTAAATTATAAAATTATTTTTTTATTTGGTAAATTAAAAAAAGTCATGCATTGTTTTTGATTTTTTTATCACACTTTTAGAAAATCTTCCTCGTTTAATAAGCTTTAAGTCCATTTTAATTAAGCTAAGGTTTATTGGGAAAAAATTTGAGATTCATCCCACGTTGTGTAAAGAAATTATGTGATTTTCTTGAAAATGAAATGAAAATAAAAAAACACTACAATTAACTTTGAAAAAACTTCTATTACTTGTTTTTCCGTGATATGGGATGTATTTTAATAAAAATAATTGCCTAAAACACATTTTATTCATAAAAAAACTACAAAATAATGATTTTTTCGAATATTTTTCTTGTAAAGTGGTTATGAAAACTGTTTTTTCTCCCAGATACTCTGTCTTAGGAATTAATATGTTTTTATTAGTGGCAAACTTAATGTTTCTTCCTAAAATTAAAAATACTTATTTCTTCAATTATTTTCATTATATATATATATATATATATATATATATATATATATTAGGGCTAGAAACATTAAGTTTGTCACTTATAAATAGGCATCAATTCCTATGACAGAAATCTGGGAGAAAAACACAATTTCATAACCACCTTATATAAAAAATATTTGAAAAATCATTATTTTTAAATTGTTTATATTTATAAATAAACTGTCCTTTTAGGCAATTATGTTTATTACAATTCATTCCATATCACGGAAAAAAAAACAAGAAATAAAAGCTTTGCAACTGTTAATTGTCGTCATTTTTGGTGAAAACACTGGAACTTTTAGGTGGTACTTTCTTTACACAACATGAGGTGAATCTCATAATTTTTTTTTCTAATAAATCTCAACTTAATTAAAATGGACTTATTAAATTTGGAAGTTTTTCTAAAAGTTGGGTAACTGTAGTACAGGGTGATAAAAAAAAATCACAAATAATTTATGAATTTTCTTTAAACTTAGCTGGGTTTATCCGCTCAGTATTCCCCTTTAAATGGTTTTATCAATAAAAACTCTACTTTTGTTTGAAGTAAATTTTGTTTAGTTTTCCATGGTGAAATGTTTAATTATTTAAATTAAATATTTATTTATTTATCGCTTCCTATTCAACAAAAAACATGACAAGCTTAAAAAAAACACAAATCTTAAATTTCCTACTATTGTTCTGGAAATTGAGCAGTTATTTATAAGAACTTTTCTGTAGAACGTGATGTCTTCTATCAACCTTTTGAATATTTCTCTCTACTGGAAACCTCGTATACGAAACAAAATATGATTAATATTCATTATGAAATATTTATTTATTCAATTTTAGATGAAATATTGATATTTAATTATTAATCCTCTATTTTTGTATTAGACGCCCTGCATGCTGACCCTGTATAACAGCTCGGAAGAGAACATCATACTGGCGGTGAAACTGACCGATAATTCAACGCTGACAAAACCTCACGTGGATGAACCAAATCCATCCCTCTTGATGAAGCAGAAGGTATGAAACAAATTATTTCTCATGATTCGAGACTTATTATTATAAATAAAACTTTGTTGTATTATAATATAACATTTGACAATGTAAAAATAAAAAACATCTTACGGCATGGAAATCCGTCTGCCGGAAATTTTATACATTATATTGCAGGTACACTAGATAATTCATAAAGTTGCCATTTCACAGTAGTTTATTAAAAACCTGATTTATAAAGAGATAATAATAATCATCTAATACATTAAATTATAAATATGCCAGAAATAAATTAACTATTAAAAAAAAGACTATTGCAATAAGAAATATAAATATAGAATTATAAAAATAAGGGATAATGATTCGACTTGTAATCTACTGTTGCGTATTTAGAAATTTAACAATAGCAAAAAAAAAATTATCACATAATGATTTTTGAACACTTTAGTAAAATACTCATCTACTACTAATCTTTGTATTTCTAATTTATATTACTAATTTGATTTTATGATTTGAGTTAAAACTTTTTTTAATGGCTTCTCCTACTTCTTCAGTTTATTATAATTATTTAAAAATTAAACCTTATTTACTTGTAAGTATTAAACCCATACATGCCAACAAATACTATATTTTAATTAAATAATACGGCTCTTATGACTTAATTATGATATTGAATTAAAAAAATATAGTTATAATGTATCCCATATTACCAAACCAGTTTTTAATATATTTCTTAATTTTTTTAATTAGTTCTAATAGTATATATCAACATATACCCTTGAATCCATGACATTGCGCGAAGATATAATTACTATTAGTATTTATACTACGCTTATAATTTGAGAATTTGACAAAAAATTTGGTAAATAAAATCATTAAAACACATTAATAAACTTAGAGATGGATAATTAATCGACTGATCAATTATTAGGATGAAACAAAATTGTCAGGATTTGCAGTCAAGAATTTGTTTAGGTTAGCCGACGTTTCGATCCAAACATGTGGGTCACCCTCTGGGCTAAAAACTACAAAATATAAAAAACACATCAGTAAAAAAGTTTATAGAGCCTCTGATCAGCATTTAATGGTCCTTAATGCCAGTAATGCGGCTGATTTAGAGGCGATGGGATCTTCTAGAGTCCTGCCTTTTCTTCCACGAGTTGGCTCGGAGATCTTGAGTGAATGATTTTTTATTTTTTTTAGATATTGTATAGAAGCAAGTATGTATGTGAGTAGTTATTTTTATTAGTTTAGTGTCTTTTTGTTTAGTTTAGTTTATATAAATTTACTTTTAGTATTATTGTTTTTTATTTATTGTTAGAGCGTGAATGTGCTCTCTGAACACTATTATAAATGTCCTTATTTGTGACAGATTGTAATAAAAAAAAAAAAAGATAAATGTAAAAGCGTAAGGGAAATTAGAGTAGAGAATAACAGTAACAAGATGATAGTATTAAGATTAAATAAGTAATTTACTAGTAATAAAATTAAATATTAAAATCACCAAAATGTTAAATAACGTTGTAAAAATACACAATGGTAAAAAAAAAGAAGAATTAACATAGCCAAAAACCTCATAAACTGCAGTTTGGTCTGATCTGATCCCCACTTTCATAATCATTACAAAACCCTTTTTTCACAAGATCCTAAAATCTAATGATTTTCCAAACTAATCAAATCTTTAATTAACAGTTCCCCTATATGCCACTCTTCTCAAACTAATTCCTCACAACCTTATCCAACAACTTTGCAATGCAGATCAATTCCAGACACCCCTACCATTTCTAATAAAATTAAAAAATCCTTTTCTTCCGCTTTTCCTAAGGTACGGCTTATTTTCAATGGCAAACTTTAAACCTTATACTCCAACCTAAAAGATTTCATACTTCTGCAAAAACGCATCCTTTGATCTACTCCAAATTGTAATTCATGTTACATTGGCGAGACCAAAAACTACCTTACAAAACGCATAACACAACATAAATATATTATTACAACCAGAAACCTATTTACATCAAAAATTGTGTGAACATGCCATATGCTTGACCATTCCTTATAGTGTTGCCCAAATGCGAGACCGAGACGAGTCTTGGTCTTACAAACTCAGTCTTGGTCTAGTTCTTGGTATTGCACAAGACTCTCGTAACAGCCTTGCAGTTACCTATTAGCTCATACTAGAGAGATATTACTGTATTTTTTTAGACATGAGAAACCTAACTAAGTCTGAATGAAAAATTAGAAGAGTTAAATGCAAAAGTATATTGGTTACACCAATTCTTTACATATAGTAACTAAAGTTGTTAAGTATTAGTAACTATTTTGCCTCAATTTATATTCAAAAAATCGATTTTTTTTATCAATCTTGGTTTTGGTCTTACAACAGATAAGCGGTGTTGGTCTTGGTCTTGCAAAGTGCAACCTAATTCCTTTGATTTCGACAATCCATCCGTCCTCGCTACGGTTACTAACCATGAAAAACGCCTCCTCTGAATCAATATTTACCCACCTTGAAAACAACAGCCCGTTAACCATAAAGTAGATAAAGAGACATTGTCATCAACCTACTCCAACATCTTCCACTTTCTAAAATGATAACGTTTTGTTTTAACTCGTTTCCATGTTCATTTTTAATTCTGTAGATTAACACATTCAACCAACCTTTAAGTAATTTTTAAAAAATCGTTTTGAATATTATTTATCTATAATGTATTCGTTATTATATATATGTTAGTTTTTACATAATTTATAAGTTTTAGTTTATGTACTAGCTGAGTCGTACCTTACCTAACTACTTATTTTTAATTTTAACTATCTGTTAACATATTTACTGTGTTTTGACATATTTTTAATATTTCAGTTAAACAGATGTTACCTAACCGCATCGCTTTTTTTCACTTCCTCATTAAAATGACTTTCGCAAACTCTCAATTCTTGTCCCAACTTCCAAAAGTATATTTATTCCATATTTACTGATTTTTATTTACACCCGTCTTTTATTGCACACTTCTTATTAATTTAATTGTTTTGTTCTTGTTATTTACACTAATTACTCTTTTTTTTTTGTAAATCTTACTTTTGATATACAATACTTACCTTTTTCATTCATTTATATCACAAAACATTTTCATATTATATTTCAATGTTTTTACTATTGTTTACTTTTACATTTATTATTTTGCTGATTTTATTCTTTACTTTGATTACTATTATCTGACTTATTTAATCTTATTACAGTCATCTTGTTACTGTTATATTGTACTCTTATTACGCTTACACTTTTATATTCATCTTTTTACTGATGTTGTTTTATATTTTGTAATTTTAAGCCGTGAGACATACATGTTTGGGTCGAAACGTCGGCTAAACTAATACAAATTCTTGACTGTAAATTCTGACGATTTTGTTTTATCCTATTAATAAAATTATTTTCCCATATTTTTTTTCTGTTCTATTTTTGTAGAAAAAAATTCGTGAGGAAGGGGGATGGTTATAAATCAATCGACACATTTTTTTTTATTCATTGTAAATAGACAAAAAAAAAACAGGCATTTAAAATTAATTTATCGCATCGTTGTATTATGTAGTTTTAAAAATATTGTTATTAGTCATATTATGTAATTTCGACATTCCTCAAGTTATTTAGTGTTAACAGTGCTGATTTCAGTTAAAAGGTATTGTCAACAAAACCAGAGTTCTCGTTTACAAAGAGGATGACATCATATATTTTAACACTGTTCAAGCTATAGTCCTAGATAGTTTAATCGTGAGATATATATATTAGTAATCCTATTCAAGGGCCTAAACTGTCGGTTGTAGAATATACCTTCATATACACTTGACTTGAACAGTAAAGTGCTCAGTTTTGTGTTTAGGTCGAAAAATCTCTTACTATGTGGAAATATCTCCATAGAATGTACGACAAGCTTATACGATAGTTCGCTATCATATATTCTTTACTTATATTAGTAAAAATATGAATAATTGCAATATGAAAATACAAATATTATTGTACATTTCAAATAAACGTGAGAAAGTAAAATAAGATAATTAAAACAAAAAATAGATATGAGTCATCCGACCTCCTAACATCATTTCATTAACTGCATATTAATTTTATTTGTCTTTCATCCCTATATAAATATTTGACCTAATTACATATTAAAATTTTAATATAATAAAGCCTATATGGGCATATGGGATTGAGCTTTGGGGCTACACCAAACCATCGATTTTCTATCGTATCCAATCCTTAAAAACACAAAATTTTTAATGCTCCATATTTTGGTACAAATGACATCATAACCCGATCCAAATACACATCCCTTCACGAAAAACTCAAAACCCTTCCAAACCCACTTGTTTTCTGCCTTGCTTCCTCCTCGATTCCTGAAAATCCCCCTAAAAGTCTGAGAAAGAAATGGCCTCGAAGTCTCCTTGCTTTAAATTACTTAGGGAGTGCTACCATTGGGTAGTATTACCACAACTCTGTCCATGTTATTATTCTTGTATTTTTCACATTTACTCGTTGTATTTATTTAATACTTATTTATTTCGTCGAGCCCCTGCCTACCGCCGTTGGGGTTTCCGAGCCTGGACCATAGATCTCTATCCTGAATCAATTCTCTCCTTCACCAATACGTTTCTCCCATTTTCTCCTTGGCGTTCTTCTCGGTCTACAACCATCGACCTGTGTCTCATAGGTTGCTCTGGCTGTTCTATTTTCATCCATCCTAATGACGTGTCCATACCATCCGAGTTGATTTTCCTCGATCACTGCTCTAGCAGATTTTACATTGAGGTTCGTCCTTATTGTAGTATTCCTGATACGATCTCATCTTGTTTTACATCTTATATTATCCTGATACATCTTGTATTGCTCCAGCCTCAATGCCTAAAACTCCTCCTGCCTAGGCTTCTGAAAAAAAGATGGCCTCGGAATCTCCTAACTTAAAATTATTTAGGGAGTACTAACATTGGGTAGTATCCACACAAGTCTGTCCATTTTATTATTCTTGACTTTTTCACATTTTCTAGTTTTATTTATTTAATACAGTAGTATGAATGCAATCTCTGAAATGAATGCAATCTCTGAACTCTATTATAAGTGTCCTTAACTGTGACAAATTGTAATATTTCTGAATAAAGTGTTTTTTAATAAATACAGTAGTAAATTTTAATTAATAAATTAAAACAAACAATTTCATTTAAACGCCTATTTTTTTTAATCATGTTCTAAAAAGAGAAATAAAAATAATATTGCCATTAAGGTGAAGATTTGGGATTTAGCTAGGAATGTGAATATTGGACCGGTCCAAATTTCCTATTTTTATTTTACATATTTTTATATGTTGTAAACCATGGTCATCAAACAATAAACATATAGCACAAATTTATTTTAATTATATTAAGATCACGGAATGTTCTAACGATAAAAAGGATTTGTTAATTTAGACTAACAACCTTGGCGGAAACCTCAGGACGTGCAATGAATAATTTATCAACCACCTTCTCCCTTTACAGATGCACTGATTCTTTAGTTCCCGTCCGAAACTATTTAAATATTTTTTTTTATGAAGTTTTAATTACTTGGTATAAATCATAAATCATAAATTAAAACTTCGAGGGTTTATTATTTTTATTGATTTCCAACTATATTTTTTATGACCTACTTGAAATAAAAAAAGTAGTACTAATGCATTTATATTTAATATATTCCTGGTCATGGAAACAAGCGAAATTAAAGCTTTTCAATAATTTATTGTGGTAATGTTTCCTGAAAAATGGTTATTTTTAGGTGATAGGATATCAAATCACATGCCGTAATATGGGATAACTTTGGGACTGGGTGGGCAACTTTGAACCAGCGGTTAAAATTTAGTTTGTGGCGATTCAGTGGTGGACACACTGTGTTGGTTCAGTCTGCAAAAACGTGCTTTGTGTAGGCATGTACTGTGCTACTACCTTGCGGCAGTTTGGGAACCATCGTTCGCTTTGCTCGTTGTGCACTTACGTTTTATTTATTTCCATATCATTTTTCAAAATTCTTGTTTTCATGAAACTTTTCACTTGTGCCGCAAGGTAGTAGCGCAGTACGTGCAGACTGGACCAACACAGTGTATCCACCACGGAATCACCGCAAACTAAATTTTACCCTCTATCCCAAAGTTACCCACCCAGTCACAAAGTTACCCCATCTTACGGTACTTTTTTTACACAACTTGAGATTAATATCTTAATCTTTTCCTAATAAACCTCAACTTATATAATACATGATTAAGCTTAAAAAAAGAGGAAGTTTTTCAAAAAGTGGGGTATCTGTAATATAATTAGAGGGTACGAACAAAAAAATCGCAAATAATTTACGATTTTTTTTTAAACGGAACATTAGAGTTTAACTGCTCAATAGTCCTGTTTAAGTGGATAAGCAAAAGAGGGAAATTAGAAGGACATTTCTCCGTAGGTAGAGGAAAATTTTTATAAGAATGATAGCAGACTTGAAGAACTACAAAAAAAGTTCATATAAACAATGGGCCAATTTTCAGAAGTAAATCCATGTTTTTGTGGGTTTTTTTTTTAAGTAAGTTATGTTTTTTGTTGAATAGGAACCGATAAGGAAAGAAATATTTAATTTAAGTAATTGTGTAATTGTTTCGCTGTAAACAAGACAAAGTTTACTTCAAACGAAAATGGAGTCATGCCATAACTTATTCGTGATTTCTTTTTCTTTTATCACCATCCATCTATACTATAGATACCCCACTTTTAGAAAAACTTTTTTCATTAAATAAGCTGGAAGTCCATATTAATTAAGTCGAGGTTTATCAGGCAAAAACTTGAGATTCAGCTAATGTTGTGGGGAAAAAAAAAGGATGTGATTTTTTATCTTAGTGCCAATACTACCCCGATTTAAGCAAAAATGGACTGTTGCAAAGCTTTTATTTTATTTTTTTTCCATGATCTGGGGTGTATTGTAATGAACAAAATTGCCTAAATATACTTTTTATTTTTTAAAAAAACTTTAAAAATAATGATTTTTTCAAATATTTTTCTTGTAAATCTATTATGAAACAGTATTTTCTTCCACATATCAGTTATAGGAATTGATCCGTATTTACAAGTGACCAAATTAATGCTTCTAATCCTAAAATTTACGTTTAAAACAAAGAAATCTGCTGATTGTTCGAATTATTTTAATGAAAACGTAAATATCAGGATCAGGAACATTTAATTTTGTCACTTATAAATACGGATCAATTCATATAATAGATATTTGGATGAAAAACACAGTTTCATAACTACTTTACGAAAAAAATATTTATTTAAAAAAATATATTTAAAAAAAAAATGTCTATTAAGGCAATTATGTTTGTTAGTACATCAAGTACATCATAGATCATAGAAAAACAAGAAATAAAAGTAGTGAAACAATCAATTGTAGTCATTTTTGCAGAAAAGGCAAGTACTTTTATATGATAGGATAAAAATTCACATCAAGTTTTTTCCCTAATAAACCTCAATTTAATTAATACGAACTTAAAGCTTATTAAACGAAGAAGTTATGTAAAAAAAAGGGGGGTATCCGTAGTATAGTCGGAGGATGATAAAAATAAATAGCGAATAATTTGTGATGCTTTTAAAAACAGAACTTAGCTTAGTTGACCAGCTCTAAAGTCCTCTTTAAATGGTTTTAACTATGACAAATTCTATTTGAATTTTAATTAAATTTTATTTAGTTTACAGTTACTTAACTTAAATGTTTCTTAGGGTCTGAGGGAATTTTCCCTCTGATTACGGGACACTCCGTATATATATAGAATAGAATAGAAAATAATTTTATTTCCTTCAGAATAACAAAAAAGTACAGATATTAAAATTTTACATCTGGCCAGATAAAAACAAACATAAAAAGTAAAGATACAGATAAATCTTAATAAATATATGTGTGTATATATACATATATATATATATATATATATATATATATATATATATATATATATATATATATATATATATATTTTAATTTATTTATTGATGATATTTACAACTGTATTACAAGTAAAAATACATTCAGTAAATGTGAACAATAGAATATAATAGCATGAAATCATTTGTTGAGAAACTACCCACTGGTAGCACTCTAAAAATGTATTTACAAAAGGAGATCTCGAGGCCCTCTTCTTTTCAGACGCCTCGGAGGGTAATAAATATATATAAAAATATATATATTTTTTAATATTGCTTTTCTATGGAGGGCTGGGATGAACGAGCGGGTTAAGGCGCTTGCAATAGGTAACCAAAGTTAAGCAGCGTCGAGAGTGATTTATGATAAGTATTTGGATGGTTGACCGCCTGCCAGGAAAACCCAAGCTGCCTGAAATCCCCTCCCTACCCTCTGGTAAAGCACATCAGTCCACTGCAGACAATGCATACTGGAGTATTTCCCTATCAGGCTGTATTGTACACTGGCAATTGAATATATTCTTAAAGAAGGTCGAAAATCATATGTCTTTGTTGTCGGCACATATGTAAATTAGTGTTAAATATTTATTTTTTGATTCGGAACGTAACATGTTACTGTTTAATTTTATTGAATTTACAAAATGATCACAACAGTTTTCAATATTTTCTCAGTACCATGATGACCTTATCCAGTGTACTTAAATCGGGAATCATGATGAGGATTTCTAGGATGTCAGAAGCACCGCAGAGATCGGTCCATGGATGGTTTGTTCTAGAGAAAGAAATATAAGTCCCTATGAGGCTGCAAATCCATGGATCGAGACCGATTTGTCACTGCCCTTGTATTCGAGTTAGTCGATGGGAAGAATACCAGATTGCCTCCTAAGGGATCGGCTATAGAGCTTGTGAGTGATCTAATGCTGCACCATGAAGACCATGCAATGTGAGGTTGGGTGACCCTCTCCATGCTCCCTGTCTTTCCCTAATATACGTAAGAAAACCACATCACATGGTCAAAGACACGGGGCTGTGTATTTGGATTTTTTCAAATTCCGAACTAGCATCGATTTTACATTAATTAACAATAAATTTGTTAATATGATACGTCATTGAAGTATTCATATTACTACATTATTTGGTATTGACAGTAACTTGTGTTTTCCATTGACTAAAATTTGTGTGTTTTGTTTTAATAATTTCTTATTATATATTTACGTCTAGTGTTTCTTATGTAAACGATTTATGTTATCCTATATTCCTGTTCTTTTCAGGAGGAATGTGAGGCACCCCTCCAGCAGATCAGCGAGATGATAAACTCCAGGGACCCGATAGTTCATTCCCACATCTACCTTTCCATCTTCAAGACAGCAGAAGTAGACGTCATCTACCCTGCCCCAAGTTCAAGCATCGGCCTTCAGCCACACACGACTCTTTTCCTGACATTGATACTGCTCATATATCTGTCATGACCATGGGAATTCTGTATCGACTCAACAGTGTCTCCATAACCAAAACATCCTTATTAATAATCCTTAATTTCCAGGTTGGAATTAGATACCCAAACCGGGTCATTTTTAACATCTTTCTCTCATTCTTAACTGGACTGAGCACACGACCCCTCATTTCTTTTAAAACTTCGTGAACTAACATGAGTCCTTTCGTCCGTAAAAGCATATCACCCTTTCATTCTTCTATAAGTGTTATTCTTGATCGACTTATGACTTCATATGACGTCATTTAAAAAAAAAATACTATTTACATATATTTATATGTATACATAGAGATTTTTCAAAGAATATTCTTGATATTTTATCAAACCTTAATCGTACTTTGAGTGCCATTGACCACAAAGAATGAACTAAAATAAATACAGAAAAAAAATTGTAAACAAGAATTTTCGAAGATAGGTCATTTGTTGAGTAAATTGGTAGATATTATTGTTTTCTAAAATATAAGCTTAACTGTGACTCTTATTCTGATCGAAAATATTAATTTATAATAATACAATCCTTATTTGTTTTAATAATAAATTACAGCATCACCTCTTGTTTTTATAAGAAAACAAAACAGGATTCTGAATCTTTTTGGGAAAAAAAAAAGTCTACACTTATTATCTTTCAATCCTGTTAGTGTAAATAAATAAAACATATACGTAAATATTTAATTAATCTTCCATTCAAACAAACTTTTTTTTTATTTTATGTATTTTAATTTCGGTAATGAGAGTATTATTGACTAAACGAATTTTTTTTTTCAGTCTACCTACCCTGTACACCTGATATATTTTGAAAAAAGAAAATAATAAAGCATCCTATTTTTTAAATGTATATTTTAAATGTAAATAAATGATAATTAAGTATTTGTATTAGAAATATCAATATTTTTAAAACAAAATTAAGCAAGCAGAAAATCGTGTACCCAGTATTCAGATTGTTTTCGATTTCACGTGAAAATGGCACTAAATAAAAAATAAATAATATATATATACATAAATATATATATTTATATATATATATTTATTTATATGTATTCCTTTAATTGCTCATGCAGCTCTGTTATAATCAAGAATATGTGTATTAATGTTGTATTTATATGTCGACTTAATAGTATTGATGGAGCATAAACATTATCTGATAGTATTTAGATTAAATGTGTTTATAAATAATCAACTAATTAACGTATGTGGTTCTATATGTGTATCCTTTTATATAGCCCAAAAAATGATATGGAAGATTTAGGTGTTAAATGTCGAATTTCATCCAGTTGTGCATGTCCCGTTACAAAACAACTGATATTAGTTTTGCTGTATTCACCTATATTCCAAATCGATTAGCAATCAGTTTCGATCAGCTGATGGAGATGTGCTTTTCAATTTTGATTTTTCCTAAATGATCAGCACTTAGTAACGGTTAGAAGCCTCATACGAAACGAATCTAGTTAACGATTTAAAGCTGCTAGGTATATATTTCATTTGAATACATAAAACAGGTAAAATACATATACACATAAAAAAAATATATATAATGCCGAGTTGAGTGAAAAAAAAAATTCTTAATAGATATTATTGCTGGAAATGGAAGGGTACTTTAAGAACTTTATGAAAGGATCATCCATCATTGCGCGATACACTAAATTTGAGTTCATAAACTATACTGTATTTAAATATATATATATATATATATATATATATATATATATATATATATATATATATATATATATATGTATAAATATATATATATTTAACAAAAAGAAATAAATGAGCACATAGATATTAGCTCCCCAATAGACTCATGGATCGATTCCGCAAGGTAGAGAAGGTGGGAAGACCTCTTCCAAAGGTTGGTCGTGGTATAAGTTTGTGATTGGTTAAATAAGTATATACATATCATATGTCAGACTGAAACTTGAGCTAGGAGGCGCTTCTAACATATACATATCATCATAGGGACTTAAGAGAGATTTTTAAAATGAGTAGTTTGTAATCGCATATTTAGAATAAGGAGAAACTTGTAAATGGCTCAAAATATTCACTAACTCTTATTAAATTTCATGGAATTTGCATTTTTCTTATAAAGAAATAATTTATATTCAAATTTTAATTTAAATATTCGTAACCTCAAGTTACTGTTTTATTAGGCCCCTGTTATTTTTTTTTTTCTTTTTCCTTTTTTTTACCAATATCGATTAAAAGTCAAATTGTATTTTTAAATAAATAATAATTATTTAAATTAGATCCTCCCTTGGGTTAATCTGTAGTTAATGGTTTTTAATTAGCATGTCATAATCAGTAATATTTTTATACAAAAAAAGAAAGAATTCTATCAACAAGTAGTTTCTTGAAGAAATCTCAAAATATACGTATACAACAAAAATTTATTAAAAAGTCTGATGAATTTTGTAAGTGATCTATTTGAAATTTAAATAATATCGTTTCTGAGGAAGTTTTTCAATTAGATCATTAATTATTTCTGACATTAATGTAATTTAAGCTGAATTTATTTTGAAGTGTAATAGCATTGACTACATTTCATTTTTGAAACAACTAACACTAAATATAAATTGTATTGAGTATTGTAATATACTTTAATTTGAACTGATTACTGTCATCTAAAATAGTCATTTATAATTTATTAATTATTTACAATTAATTTTTAGTAGACAATTTTTCTGAAATGTCTATTTGGCATTCCACTATTGTTGACAATGTAGTATCCCTGACTTCACATATTCATTCAATGGCATGGTTTGATAAGCAACGTTATCATTTTTTTTTTTTTTTTTAATTTCAAGTCATTTCATGTTATTTTTGTTTTAATACAGTTGTAAATACCATGAATAAAAAAAAAAATCAATTGACCATGACACGTCTTATTAAATGTTTAATGTAACACATATTTTTTGAAGAACAGACAAATATAGGAGTTTACATTTTCTTTTCTAAACTATTTTAATAGTACCACTGTTGCTGTAGAGTGCAGTGAAATAAAACCATGCCTATTGAGCAATTGACTTCTTCAAAATAGTCCATCCAAAACGCTTTAGACTCAACAAAAAAAAAAGTGAGAAAAATGTTAACATCTAGATTAGGACAGTCTAACAGAAGATTTGCCGCAAAAGATGATAGAAATGTTTTTACTTTGTCTAGATAACAAAATCTGACAAGATGCGACAAATGTAATATACAGATTAACTAAAGTAATAGTTTTCGTACGGGCTTGCGTATATGTTTTGTGTGTATGAGCTGCGTGAAAGTTACGCGTGAAATTTAGTTGTTTACATGTTGTAGGTTACAAAATAACATCTTGACTACAGCATCCGTTCGGTATGATTTCTGGTGAATACAAGAAATAAAACCGCCACTGGTTGTAAAATAAGATTACCCTATGTACATAGCCTGTTTAACCTAACGTTAGAAACAGTGTATCCAAATTCGGTATTACTTTCTTCACAGTGTATTCAATTCCTTCCCTCGTTGCAAATATTAGATTCTTTTGTACAAACCATTTTTTTGTAGACACTGTGCCTGACATTTCTTTCAAAATTGTATGTACGAAGCTTCAGCTAATTAAAACATGTGGTATTGATAAAAATGTTATTTGTATAGGAAATATTATAGTTTACGATAAACCTCAAAAAAATGTTCACTTTGTTGAAGATGTTTAGATGTGTATACAGATTCTATTAAACTGTTATCTGTACCAATACCCTCAATAAAAATAACCAATGTTAATAATTTTCTGTAATCAAAGAGATATAATAAATTATTAAACCAAAGGTACTGTAATTTTGTTAATACCTTTTCATTATTTTTTTTTAAATTTCTATTTTCCAAATATACGACTATGACTTTTTATTTTCAGAATGCGTGCGTACGTTTTCTAGGTCATGCAAAAGTAGTCCATGGTAAAGACGCCTTTTTATCAAATTATTAATTAAAACTTCGTGAATAGCTTCATCTCATCAGAACATGCGACATTTTTATTTAAGAAAATTCTTCTAATTGGGGCGTTTTCAATCTAGAGATCGAAAAACTTTGTCTATTTAATTGGGTACAAAAAACTCATGAACACTCATTTGCTTTTTAGTAAAATTTTTAGATAATGTAATAAAAAACATGAGAAAAAAAGTGGCCTACAAAAATATTGGGTCGTTTGGCGTCACCTCCACTCCCAACATGTCAAATTATGCCAAACAGCCATCATATTTTTGTAGGCCCCTTTTTTTCTAGATTTCGTGATCAAATTGGAAAATCGAAAAGCAAATGGATATTCATGAGTTTTTAGTATCTGACTAAATTAATTTATTTAATGAAGAAATGACCCATTTCTGAGAATTTGCTTATATAAATAAAGTGTCGGATTGGGATAAGATGAAGCCATTCACGATTTGATAAAGAGGGATCAGTACCACGGAATAAAGAGATTGATAGACCTGTGATTATCACACTCTGTTTGACTGCTTTTTTGTGGATTGGAATAAGCACAGTATATTCCTAACCTCCCCCCCCCCCCACATTCCTATAAATTGCATATCGTTGTGTTCCTTGTAACTATTCATTAAAAAAAAGCCAATGTTCCCACAAAAAAAAGTGAACGCACTGCCCCAAAATGGCGTCCAAAGATGGCGGATTGACGACTTTGACTTTAGTTAGTTTTTTGGTCACTGAGAATCAGCATTTGGCTTAATTTCCTCATAGTTGGTCTTTTCCAAGGTTTTGGCACTTCCTTTCTCGTTCGCTTGATGTATTTTTCAAGTTTTCGAGTTCAATTTCGCGTTTTTCCTCATTTCAAGACCAAATCCAAACAATCAGTTCTGGTTTATAGAAGAACTTATAGCGTCACCGTTTCTATCTTTCTTTGTGCAGAGAGAATAATTCATTCAATAATAAAATTTCCTATTTATTTATGATATAGTCCAACTTCCGCACAAAATAAAGGAAATAAAAATTAATTTTTTAATTAGTGATATATGAGTTTTACTATACAACCCAGCAGCTATTCATTATATATAGTTCAGATTAGGTATATATTATTTTAGTTTATAAAACAGGTATTAATACGACTCATTTCCTGGGAAGTATATAAAATTTTAATTACCTTTAAGAATCAGTAAATATACAAAACACTGTGTTAAATTGCAAACGTTAAATAATAAAAAAATCAAGATATTTAGCAAAGTTTTTTAATTAAGTTTTATTATTATAATTATATCATTTTTACAATCAAGGTCTTCTTAAACGACCTACGTGTAGAATAAAGAAGGTTAAATTAAAAAAAATAATAATAAATTTTATTTAAAAAATTTAATTTTTTTTTTTTACAATTAAATTATTGCATTAATATTTGTTCGTTAATAAAACCAATATAATGTACCAAAAATGTTATTATATCACTTTAACTAAGCCATTTATGTGTACTGAATGGTGTGGTAGAGGCCTGTAGGCACCCACGCCAGTACCGCTTTTCTGCCGCATAAGTGCATTTTCTACGGAACTGTTTAAAAGTTCCTTGGTGTTCCGAACACCCTGAAATAGCCAATACAGCGCTATAATAAGATCATTTCCACTACATTTCAAGAACTTTGGAGCAATGTCGTCCCTGCCAGTTCTACTACAGCTTCATTAATGGCTTCTTCACTGACGTCGTAGAGCTTCTGTTCTCTAGTTACTTCTTCATTAGCAAAGAGATTTAGGTAGTGGCTACCTCCCATCTGATTAATATTTTGCATAGTTCTGTTAACAATTCTTCAACAGTTCTGTTAGCAACATCATAACTGTCTTTTACATTGTTCACTGATTTCGCTCTTTTGCTCTTCAAGCATTTTTCAGTTTGCCAAAAATGTGTTTCGATGTTTTCTCTGTGCTTTTCATCTTTTCACAAACTTTTCTCGAATTCTTTCCGTTATTTCGTATTAGCTGCTTTTGTCTCATTTCTTGCATTTATTTACTGAGAAAAGTCGTCTTATCGTGTTGATAGGACTTCCACACATACTTCTTTTTGATTCATTTCTCAGGACCGCCGAGAAATGAATATTAGTATGAATCAAATGCTCACCACGGTCATCATGTACTTCCACTTTTGACAAAATTTGAACGACCAATGAAAAAACTCCATAAGCTATTTCACCGGTTCTTAATAGATGTCGACAGTGCCTCGTACAAGGTGGGCTATTGAACAAACTTTATAGTTTTATTCTAACTTCTTAACTCACGTTTTACGAGAGTAGAAAAATTCAAATACTTCGGCTCCTCAATAACTTCAATGAATGACCAACTAAAATAAAGTTATAGAGGTCAAGAGGACAACCTGGGCAGATTTTGTGCGAAAGTTGGAATCGGATTCCTACCAAAATCAAAAGAGTCCTCAAGGGTTTAAGAAAGGAAAGAGCGCCAACTCTGAAATTTTTCAAAGACAAAGAAGGAAACATTCTCAGACAGAAGGATGAGATAATGAAAAGGTGTAGGGAATACTTCCAAGAACTGTTGAATGAAAATTGACAGACACCCTGTGTAGATGAAGTGACAAGAGAGATGGGTCCTTGGGAAGAAGATGACTTTATTGGCGATGACGAACTGGAAGAAGCAATCTGGAGTGTGAAGTCCGCAGGTAGTGATGGTGTAACTACTGAAATACATGGGGCCG